GACAGACTAACGGGAGCGCCATGGCGCAAGTTTGCTTCTACTGTGTGGTAAAGTAATGGAACAAGTTACCACTCACAGTAGTTGCAGTGATCTCTGTTGCGCAATTTAAACGAAGGCGAGACAACTCTGTGCAGAAGTGTTCCAGTAGTAATACTAGCAGCAGTCTCAAAGTTACTATTCACATCTCCCTTACTTAGCTTTCATTCTATCTCACTGTCACTCTTTTACACCATTCACCTCACGCTTGACTATCACAACACTTCACAGTCTCCAAGCAGCCATCATGGGCGGCTTAACAGTTCAGTGAGGTGCGGTGCCTGTGTAACCATTGAGACTGCTTATTTCCCGAGGGCGATGCTGCTTTTCATTTCCTTTCTCGTAGGTATAACATACATCACAAAATTGTGGAACTACCTGGCAGCTGAAGCACAGTGGTAACCATCAGCTCACAAATCCAAGAACCTGAAGTCCCCTGGCCGAAACCTACAGTTCTGTGACATGACCTGACCTACCCGTGGGCAGGGAACTCCAAATCGCTGGGTTTGGCAAGCTGGCCGTCATGTATTACTTTGTCGAAAGCCTTACCAAAATCAACGAATAATACTTCCATGTCAGTTCAGGTCAAGTTACTACTACCAAACGTTTGTTTGGTCCAGCTTATCTACAGTAGCTTGATGCACGGGAGATTATTCCCGTTCACATCTATTTCAAGCCTTAAATGAGAGGTGCTAATATAAAATGTGGAAAATCGGAAGAACAAAGGTAGATAATTTGAGAAATATTAACATTAGGAGGTATGTTTATCGCAAAATCCTTCTCTCAAAAGCTTTAGCAAGCTCGCCTACTCACCCCAATGATGGTTAGCCGCAGTCCTGGCCGTCTTGCGCTCACACTGCGGATCAGCCTGGGAACTTACATGTGTTGTACCAGTAAACAACCAAAATCCTCTTGTCGGTCGAAGGATGGGGAACAGGTTCGAAGTGCTCTTCTCAACGCTCCTTAGGAGTCATATACGGCAGCAGTCAAATAGATACCGCTGCTTTTGTAGCGTTAGTGACTATTGGGTCTGTAACTGCACCACAAGAACTCAAATTAGTTGGAATTTAGCACAGAATGTTATTGTTTTAACCCTCAAGGCTCAAGCTAAATCAGACATGGAGGGATGGCAGTGGTGGTCTCCCTGGTCCTTCTTGTGACAGTCCTATGAGCGTCAGCTGACAGTTCTTTGAGTATCTTTTGAGTGACCCATCTACAATTCCCTGAGCGTTCAAAATTACTCGGCAAGGGAAAGGTCAAATAATTTTTTCGACAGAAGCTTTTGGGCGGAACTTTTAAACCTGACTCTAAGACACTCACCTTATCAGAAAACTTTCAATAATGATGAGGAAACACTTATTCCTACTTAGATTACTTATGCCTTCTTTTATGGTCTTACGTCTAGCTAGTCGCCAGTATCAGTGGAATACTTATTTTTGTTTTATTTAAAGACTCATATAAGTACGTTCAATGCAATCACTGGTAAAACTAACCATAACCCGAATAGAGACAAATAAATTAACCATTTAAATTAGAACAGATAAATTTTTATATTTTAGTTGTGGAAATATAAATATATCCGAGAAAATCTGTGTATATCTTCTGGTTTTACATTCATAGAGATGGTTTCGGCTCTGGCTTAGTTGGATCTACAAGTAATTTTTAAAGATAATCCAACTAATTTTATTTCAAGTTGAATTATACTAAAGTTGAAAAGGATATATTTTCACAAACTTACCAAAGGCACCGCACTCCTGTGGTCGACTTCCTCTAATCAATCTTTGATTTTGTTCTTGAATAAACTGCACGATGGAATCGTAGCATTTATGCCTCATTAAAACATCTGTATTTAATGAAATTTAAATCCATACTGTTACTAACCGCTAATCACCAAAACTATTTTTCTATCTGCGAGGGCTAATATGCTAGTAGCACCCCTTGATTTAACAATTTTCAGTATCTTTTCTGAGACAAATAATCCAAAATATCCCGAGTACGATCTTCGGCAGGTTTTGCACTCGATTAAGATAGCATATTTATCCCTAAACTGAATATCATCCACATGCAGACTACATAGTACAACTTTGTAAAAGTTTATTAACTGAAGCTGTGCTTTAAATCCTTCGTATTTCTCTATGGTATTGACCGAAAAGTTACAGATTAGCAAACCCCAGTTATTTAGGAATTAGATGTATTCATACATCAAATCCCTCATGAAATTCCAGGCCGGCAGCCATTTCCTTGTCCAACTCAGTAAGTAATCACTGGGTGACTTGATTTGAATATGAAAATCACAAATGCATCATGATTGCAGTTAGTAACTATAAATTGTCTCTCCCCACTTCTTGCCTGAGGATAATAATGGGATTGATACCCCATTTTCCTTGTTTTTCTTTGTTAATTATAGGTTATTGATAAAAAAAATATTAAAACTTTTTCGAAATGAATTTTAATGGCATCTTATGGGGTGTTTAGGCTATTGGAGGAGAAGTTTAGCACCTAAGACGGGCTGAGCAGCGACGGGTTCACCGAATAAACCAAGCAGGCTTATCCAGAGGTTTCTCAAGTAGGGAGTAGATCGAGAACAAAGTCGAGTACGAGCGTCCGAGTGTATTGTGACCTGCAGTGGAAAGTATACTGAGAGCCAAGCGAAAGATACAACTCACCGGGAAATGTGTCATATTCGAGGTCATATGCGACCTCGAAAAAGTGGGCAATAAAACAAAATGGGGTCTTTACATGAATCAGGGAAATGGTGTTGAAAAGTGAAAATAATGTTACTACAGAAGATCTGTTATTGTTAATTTAAGTATGAAAATCCCTACGGGTTTGTCGACGGTACAGGTGAAAGTCACCTAATATCGATCCTCGGTTGCATGGTGAACATATCTTCAATTAATGGGGGACGAAGTGATCAATCACAATCGTCAGTTTATCTTTGCCTCTTCGGCAATCGCCCATGGATCAACATTTATCTGCAAGCAGCTAATCGACCATGCAGGACCGCTTCTTGAAAAACTGCAAGCTTATTTAACCACTACTGAATTACGCCAATTCTTTAACTTCCAATATCAAATTTATTATTCTATCAATTTATTTTGTTCATCTGCTGGACTGCTTTGATAGTATTTATGTACGTTCCAGAAGGGACCCAAACAGGACTATAATCGGACGGTCCATCAAACAGGACTCCGTTGGGACGGCCCTTAACGGAGTGGTCCCGGTAGGAGTCGAACAGAACCCAAATAGGATGATCAACCATCCCGATCTGTGGATAGGGACCTCGGGTGACGAAGTCTTTTCGATAGGTACCCTTGGGTGACAGATCGATGACTGTTGGGTAACGAACCGGTGACGCTCGTGCTGCATGGGCTCATTGTTTTACGTGAGACGCAACGTTGACTTAAAATCCACTGATTGCAACGAACATGTTCGTTTTTCGTATCCTCTCAAGTACAAAAAGGAAGTTGTAAAATAATTAAAGTTATTACTGTGAATGCTATAATTTTAATGACACAACGATGTTGGTTGGGAATTGTATTCGTCGATGTTTCGGTTACCGTGGGCAATCCTTCTCAAGGCAGGTTTTACAACCAAATGACTCATCAATGGCCACATATATATATATGTCAATTTACTGAGAACTAAACTGCAGTTAATTTCTTTCTTTACCTAGTTAATTGTATCAGTGATTATTGTAGTACAGTAAAAAAGTGAGTGCATTTACTTTACACATATAAGTGGTGTGAAGTATCCCTGAATTACCAAGATCTGGTATAATATGCCACAATACGTCCGGTTTCGATCCACATTTTTGATATACGTGGTTTGCAAATATAAGACTTTTATTGATTGAAGATGCTTGAGAGTCAGTTTTTAATTAGTTTGACAAGGTAAGATCCTGCGAACCCTTTAACAGCAACCATGCAAACCGTCTTGTCTTTGCGAGTGTCTCATCCTAAATGTAGTTACAAACATAAATAAGGTTAGTTAAGTTTGCTCTTTACTATACGAGCTGCTTATGTTGGACCGTCATGTACTAATGAGCTTCATGCTTAACGGTGGCTGTCCGAGGCTATAAGAGACATAAGCTTAAGAAATGATGTGAGGATAAGATTTTAAGAATCACCAAGTGATAGTACCTCAAACAGGTATCCTTCGTTCCCAAAATTACCAAGATTCGAAAATCTACATTTGTTCCGTTTTGAACACTAAAATAAGTGGCACTGAGTCAACGACATTGCTATTCGCGTTGTTCTCAATTATCAAGTAAGGATGCTTATAGATATGTGTATGAACATGTAAACGGTGCCATTTTTACGTTGTTTAATAGAGGCTTACTCTCATTTTGCCTCCTTTAAGGTAGACACATTTTTGTCCACGTTAAACCTTGATACTTACTTTCTCCACATTGTAAACTTGATACTATTCAGTGAAGTTAAGACTAATTTCTTTCACTGAAAGATATTGAGGATGATGAGGTAATTGTGCTATTTGTGCCGAGCCTTTGAAAAACGAAATCAATTTGCGATGGTATTGAATGACTGCCTCAAGAGATTGGAATAATTTCATTTATTGGGGAGACTTTTATTAATTAACTTCAATATGAAAATCAGCGTAGTTTACCACAATCTGAAAGCTCTCTAGATGTACAAAAGCCGAAAAAGTGGAAAACACCAGACCAAGTTGACGTAGTTTTAGGGAGATTATAGAGAACTTAGTGACAGTCAAGTGATAAACTGATTGAAGTCTGGTTCTCTAAGCCGAGTAGATGCGAAGAATAATTGATTGATTATGGCTTTCTTTAGCGTGCAGACAACTTGATGTTTTGAATTTCGGATTTTAAACCACCCGGTTGTGAATGCGAACCGGCGGTGCATGGTGCAATACCGTCTTCCCTAGCACCTAACAACATGCATATTTTACTTTCTAGGTGAAGGAACTCCGCCCGAGGCCGTACAAATATGACAACCAATAAAGAAAAGGACTCGGGGAATAAAATGCAAACCTCGTTGCTTTTTGAAGTGAAGGGTGTGACTGGTCTGGTACGGATTTGTATTATTCGCATGGTTTACTCAATAAACTCTGAAAATTTGACAGTCCTCAGTCGGGGAGGAATCAAAATTTACCGTCAAATTGGAATACAACGGATCTGTAGTGGGTGAATCTCCCAAAGTGGATCTGGTCGATGGCAATGCCATATATCCAAATCACGTGTTTAAATACATCTATCCAATAAAAGACATCAGTGATCTGGAATTTTTGGTCAATAATCCTTTTGTTAGTGAGTGCACTGCCATGCAGATGCAATATGATTCTCGCATTGTCTAGTCACGGTGAACGAATTCAAACAAAAAGAGAAGAAACAAAAGGAGAGCAAAATAGATTTGATCGGTGAAGTTGCGTTCGATTGTCTGGAACTGATTCAAGGTAAACGTAAACTGATTCACTCATCAACCACACTGATGATAGGTGAAGTGTCTATTGAAAAAGTGTTGCCACTTTTAAAACGGATTCCGGCAAATCACGGATTAGAAGATGTAAGCAAAACTCTCCAACCGTTACGTAACTGAGAGTTTTCAGCCACAAGTGACAATTGTCATTTCGATCGATGGTTGGTCGATTGGAAAGAAAGAGTTGGAAGAGTGTAACATGCTGTTTGTTCACCTGGATTCACTACAATCGCCTCCGGAAAAACTAAGTACCAAGGACAGTACGTCCTCTTTCGTCACAGTTCTACCTCTGTGCAGTACAACTGAGGTGAATTCGTTCTCTTTTACCAGTTAATCCGTTCCTTTTTATAGTCGGATAATGTGATTCAATTTAACAATGGCGCTACTCGTATTCCTACCGATAGTGACTATTACGAGAAGTTACGGAGATGGAATCAACAGAATCCGGCGCCAGGAGCCGTGGGATATATTCCGGGAAGGTGAGACACCATGTGCGGAAAACTGATCGTTATCGCTGATTTACAGTTTTCAAGATAACCGTTTTAAACTGAATGAAGAAGACGGCGATTTTCGCACCCCAGAATATGCAGCCTTTCGTCAAACTTGTGATATGGAACGACCGAAAATTGTATGGAATCAGGAGCGTCGATGCATTTTAACAAACGATTTGGGTAAAACGTGAGTTCCTTTCGTTACACCACCACAATCTTTAAACACAAAGCTTTCGCAGTCGAATAGCAGCACAAAAGCTTTGGCCTGTAGAGATTGCCAAATGGCAAAAGTCATCCGCAACGAAAGGAAAAAAGGTAATTGTATTGTCGGAGAGATAATTTTAATTCATTTTAGGATAATGAGGCACCGCTAAGTTTTCATGGTGTGGCATACGTCAATCTGACGCCCCTGATCTATCCCGGAGGTATGTTACACACCAAAAAAACTGTTATGTTTTTGAACTAATTGATGACTGAATTTAGTCAAATATTTAAAATTGGAGAACAAAATGAACTAACAAACATTAGAAAAAACGGTTTCAGAACATTCAAAGGCAAACTGATAAGTTTTTATCTATCAATGCTTTTTTAATTAATCTTTAGCACTATAGACAGCACACAAGCAGCGTAGTTTGATTTAAATTTTGAGAACATGGGTCTGGCAACTCGCATAAACTCAAGTACAACAACAACAACAACAACAACAACAACAACAACAACAACAACAACAACAACAACAACAATCTGTGGTATTCCTACCACATGGTACTCAGATAGTCATCATCAATATAAAAGTAAATCATATCTTCTAATTTGTTAAATAGAGATTTGCTCTAAACCATCTTTCGCGTATTGGTATCTTTGGGCGGAAACGGAGTTTGCTTAATATTAGTAGCCATGCACAGTGTTTGTCACTTCATATCCGCGATCGATTGGAGAAGCCAAATTCAGCGTTAAGCGGTAACCTCGTGTTACACGATTGAACCAATTACCTCTTACACATACGGAGCGGAAGAGAAGGAATTGTATCTCGGTCTCGATCATGACCAAACAGGTAAATGAATTAAGTGCTTCAGGTGGCAAGCAGTACCAAAAGGGATTTAGAACAATCAAAATCGTCAGTATATGGGGTTGATGACGCACACACACACGCACACACACACACACAAAACGAACAATCCACTTATTATTAAACCGATTAAACAAATACTCTGAAAGCAAGAATAGATCATACTTCATTCATGGTGTAACTAATCTAATCTTTAGGTGGTTTTTAGCCTACCTCTCCGCTGCCTTGCAGGTCAGGCTTTCACTAGCCGAAGGCTCCAGTTACGAGTTCCCCAAGAAAATTCACCTACCTTGGCCTGGGCAACCTGATGGTATTTACCCACAAACACATAAAGGAACTTTTTCTTTTGACTAAATGGACTAGGATAGAGCTGTTTATTGATCCGGTCTGTCCTAGTCTTAACCAGCGTGGGTGATGCTCTTTGATCAAGGTAGATAGCTGTCGTACCGTTTGACCAACATAAGATGCGCTACACACGTATCTGAATGAGCATACAACCATTGATGAGGTCAGCATTGGCAGTTTATCCTTATTTTGAATGTGGATCACAGGAGCTATTTGAAACACGCACCGTAACTTAGCAGCGTTGAAGGCGTTGTCAAGTTCTCGGGTCAATCGTCAAAGTAAGATCTCACTCACGGCATCGGCTTTGAATGGCAAGATGAGGAATAAATCTTTCTTTATCACAGTTTGCATGGGAGTTTTCAGTATTTGTTCAATCAGATTCCTTTCGATTAAACGATCCTGGTATTCATTCTCACATAAGGTGTTTCTAATGAGCGTCAGCTCTTCATTCATCAACTCCGCAGGGCAGATTGCCCTCGCCCTAGTGACCAAATATTTGACAAAGTTACGTGTCTGCTGGGTGCTAACGAAACTATTGAAATTGGTGTACTGGTCAGTCCAGGTCGGTTTTCGGTACACCTTTCGTACCATCCGACTATATTCCATTCTGCTAAGAGATACATCCAAAAACGACAATTGATTGTTCGTTTCGCGTTCGATTGTGAAACATGCTGCTTTGTGCGCCTTATTAAATTCCAATAGCATGGGTGTTAGGTCACAGCTAGTATCAGCCACG